TGGGGGGTGGGGGGACAAGGGGGTGGCCAGGAGTTGAATTGAGACAGGGGTGGCGGCCAGGGAGGGGAGGGCGCTGCGCAAGGCTGATGGCTGAGGGGGGTGCGGGAGGAACGGCAGGTATGGCCAGGGGCTGCATGGCAGCCACGGAGCGTTCAACGCTGCCAGCTGGCCGCAGGGGCTGGACTGCGGGCAGACGGGTCTTTCCCTGCGCAGCAGCTGGCCACCAACCCACACTGTGCGTGTCCCTCCCTCAACTTCCACCCCAGATGACCCTGCGCGTCAACACCCTGAAGGCACGCCGCCGCGAGCTGGCCGCGGCCCTGATCAACCGTGGCGTTAACCTGGACCCCATCGGACCCTGGTCCAAGGTTGGCCTGGTGGTGTACGAGTCCAAGGTGCCCATCGGCGCAACACCCGAGTACATGGCAGGGCACTACATGCTGCAGGTGGGTGCATGGCAGACCGTGGTTGAGGTCGCTGCTCGGTGCAAGCGGCTTAGCTCCCTTGGCGGGCAGTCTTATTTGCATAGGAGAAGGGCAAGCTGTATTTGCATCATTGCACTATGGCTGGGAGGGTATCTCCCCGTCCCTGGTTGTGTGTGCCCCGCATGCAACTCTCCAGCCCAATCATCCCCCCTCACCATCTCCTCACCCTGAACCCCTCTGCACCATCAGGGCGCCAGCAGCTTCATGCCGGTGATGGCGCTGGCGCCGCAGCCCGGGGAGCGTGTGGTGGACATGGCCGCGGCCCCTGGCGGCAAGACCTCGTACATCTCCGCGCTCATGCGCAACGGCGGCCTGGTCTTTGCCAACGAGCCCAACGCGCAGCGCCTCAAGTCCATCACGGGCAACCTGCAGCGCCTGGGCGTGACCAACGCCGTGGTGTGCTCTTACGACGGCCGTGAGCTGCCGCGCGTCCTGGGGGAGCGCTCCGCGGACCGCGTGCTGCTGGACGCGCCCTGCAGCGGCAGCGGCGTGGCGTCCAAGGACCCGTCCGTGAAGACCTCCAAGACCGCGCAGGACATCTGGCGCTGCGCCCACCTGCAGAAGCAGCTGCTGCTGGCCGCCATCGACCTGGTGGACGCGCGGTCCGCCACCGGCGGCTACGTGGTCTACTCCACCTGCAGCGTGCTGGTGGAGGAGAACGAGAACGTGGTGAACTACGCGCTGCGCAAGAGGGCCGTCAAGGTGGTGCCCACAGGCCTCGAATTTGGGCGGCCGGGGCTCATCCGCCACCGCGAGAGCCGCTTCCACCCAAGCCTGGAGCACGCGCGGCGCTTCTACCCCCACGCGCACAACCTGGATGGTGGGTGCAGGCAGGGCAGGCAGGGAGACAGGGTGCGGGACCGGGCAGAGCGAAGCGGCAAGGAAGCGGCTCCAAGGAGGGTGGGGGGGTCGCCTTACTTGCTGTATTACAGCTCAACCCAAATTATGGCGGAAGCAACCCCGTGCGTGCATCTGCTTGCGCAGTCCACACTTGCCTGCGCGCACATGTGCGCGCCCGCATGCACGCGCATTTGCGCACGCACGTCAAGGCATGCACGCATGCTACACTAGTATGCTCGTGTACACACGTGCGTACGCTCAGTGTGTATGTGTGTATTGCACGCGCGCACACACACACACACACACACACACACACACACACACACACAACAAACAATCTGGTGCGGGCTCAGTGCCTTTTTCCTGCATTGGCGTCAAATCACGGGCGTCTTACCCACCACCCCTCTGCTGCCCCCGCAGGCTTCTTTGTGTGCAAGCTCAAGAAGGTGTCCAACACCGCCCCAAAGCCCGGGGCTCAGCAGGAGGCGGAGGAGGAGGACCAGGACGACGCGGAGCCGGCCTTCATGCGGGGCGGCACCGGCAGCACGCTTCATGAGAAGCGCGGCTCCAAGGGCGGTGACGGCGACGCGGCTACCCCGGTGAAGCAGAAGGACCCCGCCAAGAACCTGGCCTCCACCCCGGGCTCCATCTCCTCCCTGAAGAAGAAGCTGCGGTCGCAGGCGCAGCCGTCGGGCGGCAAAGACAACGAACAGGCGGAGGCGGCGGCGGACGAGCAGGGTGCCAAGCAGCAGCGGGGCGAGGAGGAGGGGGACGACGGCGGCGAGAGCAGCAGCGAGGAGGAGATTGGGCTGGGGTCCAGCAGCGACGGGGAGTATGAGGAAGGCAGTGATGATGACGACGATGAGGGGGAGGAGGATGAGGATGAGGCGGATGCTGAGGATGAGGATGAGGAGGAGGATGCCGAGGGCATGGACACGGATGAGGACGACGAGGGCCAGGAAGACGACGGCAGCAGCGGCGACACGGGCAACGGCGTCGACGGCGGCGCCAGCAGCAGCGACGGCAGCAGCGACGACGACGAGCCCGCGCGCGGCAGAGGCAAGCAGCTGCGGCAGCAGAACGGCGTGTCACGAGGCAGGGGTCGGGGCGCAGGTCGCGGCGGTGGCGGGCCAGCGGGCAGGAGCAGCAGCATCACGGGCCGTGGCGGCGGCCGGGGCCGCAGCGGCAGCCCCGGGGGCCGAGGCGGCGGCAGGGGGCGCAGTGGCAGCCCCGGAGGCCGAGGCGGCGGCAGGGGCCGCGACGGCGGCAGGGGGCGTGACGGTGGCGGCCGCAGCCCTGGCGGCCGGAGCGGCAGGGGCCGCGGCGGTGGTGGGCGCGGCAGCCGTGGCCGCGGGCGCGGCAGGCGCTAGGTCCAGGTTGTATCAAGTGGTGCATTCCAGCCTTGACCATGAGGCCAGTCGCGAGGCGACCGTCGTCACTTTTTGGAGGGTTGGGAAGGTGGACGTGCGCACAAGCAATTGATATATCATGCTTGCCGGGACCTGTAAATATGTGATCTTGTGTTTGGTAAGCTATTGTGTCGTGATCCTGTGAGCACACTCAACGCAGTAGCCCTTGGCTATGCAGCACAAGGCTTGACAGCAGCAGTCGAGGCGCCAGGCGGTGGGCCCTGCCTCCACGACTGTGCCGCTGAGCCGGCAGCATGGTATCAGGCTTAGTAGATCCCGATCTGGACGATTTTGTCGACGCGACGGATACCTTCGTTGAGGCTGGTGCGTGGGGGCAGGTTGTCCGCGTCTGGCGCGGTCATGGCCCCAGCTCAGCAACAAAACCCCTTCAAATTGCTTTGCAGAGGAACAGGACGATGCAGACCAGACGTACCCGCTACACAGGTGCGGGGCCGCGATCGGGTGTGAGTGACGCAACAAAACGCGCGCCACCACCGCAGTTGGTGCAGTGCAGTCGGTGCTGGTGGGGAGCCTAACACGCTACACCATCTGCCTTGTCCTTGCCTGCTAGAGCTCAGCTAAGCTGCAAGCGCTTCAGAACCGCGTCCATTGTGACCGCTGCAGGGCGGCCTACTACAATGATGGAGCGCGCATCCGCCGTATTGCGGGCAACCTCACCACAGACGAGCTGCACGCGCAGGACCCCCACGGCAACAATGTGGGCACTTAGCTACCGCAACAGTATCTGCAGCTCGCAGTCGTGGGTACTGTAGCCGTCGACTCTGATCGCCTTGATATTGCACTTGGATCCTCTGTGCAGACGGCCTGCGCGGTGGCCAGGCTCACTTGCAGCGCCACTGTTGCTGCAGTCCCTAGCGCCATGCCATCCATCCCACCTCCAGGCGCTCCACGTGGCGGCCCTACGCCGCGCGACGGCCGCTGCAAGCGCGCTGCTGGTCGCTGGCCTGGCCGTTGACGTCAAGTCGCGGCGCGGCTGGACAGCGCTGGAGGAGGCCCTGGCGGCGCGCGACCACGCCACGGCAAAGGTGCAGCTAGCGCAGCGGCAGGGGTCGGGGCTATGCAGCTTTCAAGTGGCTGGAGAGTTTTGGGAGCGCAGTAAGCAGACATCGTCTTCACACTGATGATGTGTCGGGAGCACCAGACCCTGAACCTTTGCTCAGCAGAGCCCCTGCTTGTGCATGAGCGGGCGCTGCCATGCCCTCAAACCTCCCTTCCGCGGCACCCGAGTCCTGCCGCAACACCCTTGCAGCTTCAACAAATGGCATCCAGCATACATTGATGCGAAAGCGTTGCGCCGCCCGCCCGCCCTGCAGGTGCTTCACGCCGCGTCCCTGGCGGCCGTGCGTGCGTCCATGAAGGCCAAGCGCCGCGAGCTGCTGGCCGCCATGCGCGTGATGCCCGACTACTCCATGAACCTCAGCTGGCGCTTGGGCAGCGCGGTGCCGGGGCTGGGGCTGCTGCTGCGACGTTACGCCCCCGCTGACACCTACACCCTGTGGAAGGTCAGCGGCGCTTGCAGGGGGCTGCGGCGGAGAGGAGGGGGCGTGCATTGGCGTTCCGTGCTCGTGCATGGTTCGGATGTGTCTGATGCTTCCTTGAAACTGATGGCAGCGCAATCCAGGCCCCCCCACAGATGCCTCAGCGCTGTGCCCTGCTGCTGCGCTTCACACCGTTCACCGGTCGCCACTGCCTGCGCCCCTGTGTCAGGTCGGTGACCGCCTGCGCGTGGACGGCACCCTCATGGGCATTGACACCAAGTCCGCCTCCCTCATACCGGAGTGGAAGCGGGGCCATTTCAGCCTCATCATGGACGGCAGCGCGGTGGACCTCACCACACCCATAGGACAAGCAGCCACCAAGGCGGCAGCCAACGGCGCCCCGGCAGCGGAGACAGAGGCCGCGGCCAGGCCGTGCGATCCAGCCGAGGACGCCGCCAGCGGGGCCTCCCCGCCGACGGCGGCAGCGGCCGCAGAATCGCAGGAGCACACGCCCCAGCCCCTGCCTGAGGAAGGTGACGCCGCAGGGGCACGTGGGCGGCCAAGCGCCGCAGCCGGCAGCGGTGCGCCGCGGCTGTTGTTCCTGCACCACGGCAAGCGGCGGTGGGTTGACCTTGGTGCGGACAAGAAAGCCATGAAGGCTGAGGAGCAGGCGGCCCTGGAGGAGCAGCTGCTGTACGCCCTGGAGAGGTGGGGGGGAAGTGAGTGTGAGGGGCCGATTTGTTGATTTGGGGGCATGGTTTGCACCTGGCCCAAGGTTAGCTGCCGGCTCCCGCCTGGCAAGCCTACCGCACAAATCTGAACACGGCCAACAAACGGCCTCCAACCGGCAGCGCTTGGTACACTCACCCCCATCCTTCCCTGGGCGCATGCACGCGCACACTCGCACGCGCGCGCGCACGCGCACGCGCGCACACACACACACACACACACACACGCACGCACGCACGCACGCGCACACACGCACGCACGCATGCAAGCACGCACGCGCACACACACGCACACCTTCCCCCTGTGTCACCGCAACCCTCCCCCCCCAAACAGGGACGTGGACAAGCAGCGGTTCAAGGCGCGGGGCTTCACCGTGGCGCCGCTCAAGGGCTGGCTGGGCGGCGAGGTCCGGGAGCGCGTGGAGGGCTGGAGCACGCGCGTGTACGAGGCGGCCGGCAAGATGGTGGGGGTGTCGACGTCCAAGGCGGCGTGGAGCATGCCAGAGACCGCCACGTTTGAGGACTACCTCGCCGCGTCGCCCCCGCCTGATGACGTGTCGGAGGTGGTGTTTGACCCGCTCAACCCCACCACCTACGACCCCATGCGCGCCCACAAGGCACGGCAAAAGGGTTGGGGTCAGGGCGACAACGGTGAGGAGTATGATGAGGGGGACGCGCTGGGCTGGGAGGACCCTGAGGGCGGCAGCATGGGCGGCCTGGCCGCTGCTGCAGCTGCCAAGGGTAAGAGAGAGGGCAGCGGCTGGTGGGGCAGCGGCGGCGGCGGCAGCGCGGGCGGCCGCAGCAAATCCGCCGGCCGCAGCGGCGGCGGTTGGTGGGGCAGTGGGGGCGGGGCTGCCGAAGAGGGTGGTGAGGACTCGGCAGGCGACCGGCTGGTCTCGGAGGGCAGCAATGGCGGCGGCAGGGCCAGCGGCGGCGACGCCGGCGCCGATGATGCAGACGAGTTTGCCGCCACTGGCTCTGATGGGGTGGAGCGCGTTCCCTTGTTTGACGCTGATGGGGACGGCGCCAGCGGCAGCAACGGCGCCAGCGGAAGCAGCGGCAACGCTTTGGAAGCGGCAGGGCCAGCCACAACTGCGCGTCGTGACAAGCCGTCAGCAAACGCCAGTACTGCCGCTGCCGAGCGGCATGAACCCAATGGCAGCGGCGGGAAGGGCGATGGCGTCCAGCCCGGCAAGAAGCCTCCGGCTTCTCCGTCTGGTGGCCGCCAGCTGCGCGCGCGGCTCTGGATGGCTGAGGGGTTCCCCATGCGTCTGAGCGCGCTGGTGCCCCTGCTGGAGGTCATCGGCTCCGCCAACAAGCAGATCGGCAAGGTTGCGCGCTTCATGGCCAAGTACTCGACCCTGGACCTGTTCCCGGTCAAGATCCAGGTGCCCCTGCTGCTGACGGTGTACGCGGTCGTGGGGTTTGCGCAGTTCAAGGAGCTGGGCCCGGCCGATGCGCCTGCGCCAGAGTTTTTTGAGGTGAGCTTGGCTTGGGTTGTAGGGCGTGGGTTAATGGGGGGAGTGGACAGGGAGAGGGACCGGGGTTGTGGTGGACCCAAGAGCGCTGGGAGCCAGGATGCATGCTCGGATGAGGATGAAATGAAGGGAGAAGCTGGGGACGAAGGGGGGCTAGGCCAGGCGGCGGCGGTTTTTGGGCGCCGTGTTGAACGTGCTGCAGTGCTGGCGGCAGCATGGTCCAAAGCGCAGTGCTGCGTGGCGATCTTGATATTGAGCGCCCCCTCATCGACTGACCACGACCCCAAGGCCTCGACCTGCCGCCACGCAATCCCACCTTGCCCCCGCCCGCCACCCCCACCC